AGACATGAAGTATAAAGAGAACTGATGGCTCTCTAGCTTTTAGTTGAGCCCCCCCCCCCCCATTGAAGGTATGTCCTCCATCTCTCAGGGGAAATATTTTCTTTAAACCTTTCCTTTAACTTACATTCCATTATTCCAAAGTCTGTTTTGTTCTGCAGGAAATACTGACTAGCTTCACACATCATGATAAGCCAAGGTGTGGTTTCTCTGACTATGGCATAAGTGTGAGAACAATTGTGGCTTCTTCAGTAAACCGTGGTTGAACAAGCTGTACCTTAAATATAATGCAAGAATCCAGTCATTGATTGAAAACAGCTTGATGTCAATAGAGTTGTAATCTTGGCTTCTTCTACAGGGGAGTTCAAATGCAGCGGGACTGATTTCTAAGTAACATGTATAAAGCTACACAGTTGCTCAGTTTCTTGTCGGGGCATATATGCTTGCGTATCTCTGTGTGTGCATTCATTTCTCACGTACAGAGATATGTGTGTATGAGTGATAAGAAACAGAAACCTCTTCCTCTCATCTGATGTATTTGCTGAATTCAAGGCCACGTTTCCAAATATAGAATGTTTGCAAGTATATAGTGGAACTAGTACACTTTTCTGTGTAGAGGGTGTCCTCTTCCCCTCTGACTTTGGATTTTATCATGATGAGTGGCCTGGAATCAGTCAAGAGTGATCTCTATAAGGCATCTGGCTGCTGGAAGGTGAATGGTGCTACTGACACCCTGGGGCAGAGCAGCACATCCTCCTCTCGTCTCATACAGGAAAGTCTCTTGGTCCTTCCCTGCTTACTACGCTTCATTTTCAAGAAACCCTGGGACTGGCAAAATTCATTTTTTTCCATGCATTATGGTCCAAGCCTGGGTGGAAAGCTACTTCTACAGTCACAGGAGCAAGGCCATACCACAGTCATTTCAGTATAGAGGCAAGATGGCACCTGCTCCTTCCAAAGCTAAATTTAATGAGCTCCACTTCAAATCTAGGTTATTTGGGGCCATTGTCAGTTTCCTATGCAATTAACAACAACCACAGTAGAAGTTGAGCCAGCCAATTGGGGACCTCTCAGCTGCAGAAGCAGCCAGAGGCTGTGGGGATGCAAATGTGTGGACTCAGCATCATGAAGGAATGAAGAACCACTGGGTCATTTGGGGCCCAGCAACAGCTGGATAACCTCAAAGCTTTGGCAGCAGAACATCCAGAGAAGTGCCTACCCTCTAAATACTATTCTTCCACCCAATAAGACAACAGGCCTTGGCCCGAATTGGGCATCTGTTTTCCCGCTCAAATTAGGTAGCATTAACAAGTCATCTCTGTAGCTTGAAGAACTTTCAGGCCTATAGATAATCTTCCTTGGTTTCTTGAGGAAGTCCAGCACGAGATGCCTGAAGAGTTCCAGGGCTTTTAGTGCTGTTTGTAAGACCAAGAGAAAATGAGAGCACCACCATCTGAATGCAAAACATCTCACAAGATTTATCCAAAAGTTTACAGTGGAAACATTGCTGCACGTGTCTGTACAAAAATCCAGCTCTGAATCAGGTTTTATGCATATGTAAGCTGTACACAGCTATTGGTACATGGTGCTCCTAAGTCACTGGCCTTGCTTTGTTTTTTAGGAGCATCTCTTTTGAGAAGCCTTTGTCAGGGTGCACGCTGGTCACTCTTTTCCTGTCTGTGCTGTGTCACCCCTCCTCCCCTCTTCCTGCAGCTACTTCCTGAGATAAAGTTAAAAAAAAAGACAAAGAAAAAAACCAGAAAGCTGCCCTTTGGTTTCTCTCACACAAGGCATTTGCCAGTGAGAGGTTGGAACAGTCTGACTAGAAGCTGTTTCAGAGGCACAGTTCTGCTCCGAGGAACTCCGCTCAGGGCCGGAAAGGGGAATACGGCTTTCCAGATGCCACTGAACTACAGTTCCCAAGAGCCACTGCAGGCATGGCTGACAATAAAGGATGCTGGGAGTTGAAGTCCAGTGGCATATGGAAGGTCACAAGTTGCCTGGTCCTGACTCAGGTTGGCCCAGCCTTCCTCAACCTGGCACCTTCCAGATACGCTGGATTACAACTCCCACCATCCCAGCCAGCATAAGACCACTTGATCCTTACCCTCCACTCTCTCTTTTCCCTCCTGCACTAGTTTTAAGGGGTCCTTAGAAAGATGCTGGACTGGAGTTCTGGGGCGGTGGCAGCATGTTTCATTCTGCCCAGGGGCGGCCTTCATAATATCAGGCTGCCCTGCAGAATTAAGCTCTCCTGGAAATAATGTGGCCGTACTTGACTTCCACCGTTTCTCTTCCTAAGCAATCCTGAGAACTACTGTACAACTGAGCAAGAGGAAAAGGGGGGTGGGTTCCTGACAGAGCAAATCTTTTACAGACTTGGAGAAAAGTTCTCAAACTAAAATAAACTCAATTTAAATGTGGTATCTCCTGATGGCCTTTCAAGTAGAATCAGGTACGCTGAAAGGGGGAAAAAAAATGTAACACCAACAGCCTTTCCTTCTTATCACTTTCTTTTCAAAGCTGCTTTAGAATAAGGAGAAGAAAAATGTATAATAACATCTGGATTTTTTTAAGGGCTGGAGGGAGGTTGTGGGGAGTTACTGTAGCCTCTGGAGGTACTGAGACAGGCAGGATGTGGCTTCCCAGAGCAGATTACAGAGGAAGATCGGCAGCTCCGAAAACACCAATAAATAAAACAGGGG